CGCACACCGGCTCCTGACAGCCGCCCCGACACAGTATAGCGTCGCACTGTATGTTCAGTTTATTAGTGTCCGGGTATTTAAACATCTCATACAATACGGCTTCGGCTGTATGTGTGGTGTTGTAGTTGAAGGGCGAGATCAGAGCGTCGGCCGCCGGCGCCGGACACCCGTACGGGTCGATCAGTTGGACCTGATCTCCGGCGCCCGTGTCGTCAGTGAATGCAAAACAGTTTTTTATACGTAAGGATGTTATGCCTGTATAGATAAGTAATAAATTGAAAATGGTTAATTTGATAATGATTAATTAACGTGATCAGTGTGTTTATTTTATATACAATTAAATTAAGCATTGGTATGTTAATGTTTTTTTCTCATGCTCATGTGTAATTTATTATAATAATATATTGCTATGTAAATGAATTATTAGTATTCACATATCTGAAAATATAATCATTATTTTAAGTAAAATAACTTACTATTTGATTTACTAATTTAATCTTATTGTATAAATTATAATTAATATCTTACAAATATAAAATTAATAATTTTAAAATAAAATATACATTATTGTCTTTATATAACTCAGCAACTTCCCAAAAGTTTTAATTGATAAAATTATTTACTAACTAATTATAAAAGAGATAGTACTGTAATTTTAAAATATTGTAAACTTTAATAAATAAGCAGGGAATTGCATTTACCTATATCACCTATTTTTAGCGGTTAATAGCATTACACCCGGACTCGAGATGTGAACCGATCATGTACTGGGGGTCAGTTTACCAAAAATTTATTTTAACTATATTTAACTACTTAAGCCGTTCGTAACTATTTAAACGTTTATTACCTTATACGTAACTTTTTGACACATTTCAAGTTTTTGGTATATTTTAGTATAAAACACAAAGAAAATCACAACTTCATTTACATTTGTTAGTTAGCAAATGACGAATAAGTAATCAATCTTTTGTAAATCACAATTAAATAATTATTCATTAAAAAATTATTTAAAATATTTCCCAAAAGTAGATTGAATTTTAATATCTAATCAAGCTGTTTTTCATGTCGGCAATACAGACCAATAAATCTATGTAAAAGATGCATATTTTCTATCATTTTGGATGTTTAAATATAATTACAGTATGTGGAACTTATAACATAAATAAAATTTTTTGTTATATTATTAATATGATTCACAAATACAGACCAATAAATCTATGTAAAAGATGCATATTTTCTATCATTTTGGATGTTTAAATATAATTACAGTATGTGGAACTTATAACATAAATAAAATTTTTTGTTATATTATTAATATGATTCACAAATAAATTAATATGATTCACAAATAAATTAATATATTAACAAACTTTAATACTTGTCTATATAAATTAAAATTGCTCATGATAATACTTACTATCATATGGCGTGAGTTGTGCCCGCAATATATACGTATTGCCGTGTAATATACGGCCCGCTCTCTGACCACTCATATCAAGCAGTTTTAATGTCACTTTATATGTGCCGCCACTAAACACACCGACAAAACACAATGAATTAAATATTGAAATAATACATATTGATAAAACAAAAACAGGCAAATATCATTATGGTTTAACTAAGCATTTTACTAACCGCACATTTTTATACCCGGACTGTTCGCACGTTAGGTAATAATTTTTATCATCAGTTAATTCCAGATTTTTATGAGGCCTTATAGCCAACGATACTGAGCGTTCACCCTGATACATTAACAAAATACATTGTTAACTCATACGGACCACATAAGATTTATTACCATGATCATATACCTTAACACCTTTATTGATTCCGCAGTAAATCTCGTCATTTTCATCGGCCAATAGACTGACTTTCAACGTGGTGTTAAACCCTCCGTTACGGTCTATAAGACACGGGGCTTTACGATAGCCGTGTGTGTGGACCACACCGTAAAATGGCTGTAGAGTGACCAAATTTATGTACATAACCCCCCGTTCGCAGCGGGCTGTAACCGCGGGGCTAAAATCGTCCGAGTTGAACTCATTTTGCGTGTACTGATGGTTAAAATTAAATGTTAATTCAGTCTTAAAATATTTTTTTAACTTGTACACTTTTAATGAATTACTGTAGCAATTAGGGTGACCAAACGTCCTCCCCCGGGAGGACAGTCCTCCCCTGGACCATTTCTGGCACCGTCCTCTCGAGATAATTTTAGTAATTATTCAAATATTTGCAATACAAATGATTAAATAACATTCATTTTTCTATTAAGTGCTATAATATAGCAATGGTAATAGTATCACTATAATTTTATGCACTAAAACATAGCGTCCTCCCCATGTCCTCCCCAGATTTGGAGATTTTCTCATTTTGTCCTCCCTTTGGCTAAAATTTCATGGTCAGCCTAGTAGCAATACAAACAATATATACAGCGTTATATAAGGTCATTTTTAAAACTTTGTTTTAATAATTTGGCTTTTATTTACCAAGTTTCCAATTTTTAAAAATTAGTTTAAATTGTACTAATTTGAATGACACTTCAGTTGTCTAAATTTAGAAAATTTTAATATCTAGATAATTAAATTATTAAATTATAATACAGTTTATTTTTCTAAATAAGTAATTAAATAATAATATGTAAAAATATAAATGATAAATTTATTACTTTTTAAAATAAAATTAAAACGTATTTTAAACTAAATTGCATTATAAAAGCATAAATTAATTATAATTAAACTTGTTGAAACTAAACTGTTGGTTCTTTTGCAAACACTATTCTTGTAAAATTTAATAATTACAACATTTAAAATATTTTTATCCCATTTATTTGCTATTATTACAGATAACTAATTTTATCATGTAGAGAGTTATATAAAACAATTTGATATTTATATTATGTTATTCACATATATACGAGCGGTATAGAGTCGGTTTCGGGGCCCCCAGAGATGTCCAGTTTAAACGAGCCAACCTGTGCCGCACGTGTGAGTACTGACTGTATGGTGTTTACAGCACCGTTAGTGGGCGGTAGGCCTCGAGTGGGCACAAAATCATCGACAGTAAACTCGCTTTTGGACGTTTGTTGTCTTTGTGGTCGAATAATACCCGGTGCTTGACTGTCACCGCCGGTGTCGAGCCGCTCAAAGGTGGCCTCTACTCGGGCACCGATGATAGCATTAGGACCCTTACGGTCATCCGCGTAGACTATAGCTGTGGACGGGTATCGCACCTTTAGTTCGCCGAAAAAGATATTAAAACGTGTCTAATTATATTTAATTATTTTATTGTCATATTTACAAATTCATTTATAAATACTATAAATAAATCAGGAATTGCAATAAAAACTGCATGTAATCTTCATTTGTAAAATACTGTACTGGATGATGTTTAATTATTTCTTTAAAATAATTATAAATAAACTTATAATCAATTGATTTTAAGAAAAATATAGGGATTCGCAACAGAAATGCTCTTTTCATCCGTGAGATTATATTAGCACTAATTTTGTTATTATTTTCACCAAAAATCTCATTGAATTCATTCATTATATCCTTTATATCTCGTGTACTCTCTTTTGATTCCTCGAGTAATCTATCGATAAATGTCTGGATTTGATCGACATTTACACCAAAGTTATCCCAAATAAATGACTTGTAATCAATGTTTTTATAACCATTTCTATAAATTTAATTCAGTTATAATAAATATTTATAATTAACATAATTGAATAGTTTTATTTTACAAAAAAGTAACTTTTAATCAATGAATAAAAGTATTCAATGATTATTAACATTGAATAAGTTATATTGAGTAAAGGTTTTAATGGGCAATGAATGAATAATAAAAATGATTGAATATTTTTATTTATTCATTAAAAAAGATACCTTTTTGTAATATAAAACTATTCAATTATTGATATAATATTAATACTTATGTAATAATTGTATTTCAAACAATTCTTTTACAATTAATCCGATTTTCTGGATGGCATAGATTGTAAGAGGTTTACAATTAAATACAGAATTGTCATATGAACGTAGATATAATTTCATAGAGTTTTCACTCATTATATTATCAGTTGATATAAATATATTTTTGGTTTTGAGTTTAATATTGTCAATATTTATATTCAAAGCAATCAATGATTGAATACAATGTAATAATTGTTTCAACAATTGCTGTGAAATCAGGAAATCAATTGAAATCATTGCCAACGAGTGATGGGTTTGTGTCCCAAATATCGCTTGTTTTGCATTTATGACATCCCATTGAGTTTGCGAACAAAACTCCATTTGAATGTAAATCTCGTTGTTTTCAATCCAAGAGTTATATATTTGTAGCAAATATTGAGGTTTCAATGCAAATATTTTCTTAATATTTACACACTTTTGTTTAATATTTTCTATATTGTAATTATCTATTAAATAAAATTCAAAATAATATTATAAAATAAAATGTAAATTTTTAATTACAAATATCTAGATTTGACTTGGCCAAAAATCGGACGCGTCCGATTTTTTTAGAGTGACCAGGTTATTCCCTCAAAAAATCACATGAATTTAGATATTAATAATTTAATAGAAAATCAAATTGTTCATTAAATATTAATCTTTTTGATTTTAATTAACAAAATATTATATTAATTTAATTGTTTATTGTAAATAATATTAATATTAGTTTAAATTATATTTATTGACCGGAGTCTGAGTCAAGCACTTACTATTGCAACACTTAATTAATTAGTGCCTGGGTATATTTGTAAACATTTTGATGTATTTGTTGTTAATAATAATGCGAAATTTTTCAAACTTTTGCATTTAACATTACACTTGAAATGGGAATTTAGTATACTTTGACTTAAAATTACTATAAAAAACCCAGGCATATTTTAGAAATTATGTCAATGGCTTATATTGGTCTAATACATCTGGTTATAAGAAGTGAAGTTATGAAGTCAATTTACCGATTACATAATTGGTGTTACATGCAATTAATACAACAATTGAATCAATAATGATTCAAAATATGTGTCTACCTTTCAATATAAGGCAGCATTAAAAGGAAACAGACGTTAAATAATTGATAAATAGATTATAAGAAATGTTCAATTTGAAATAAAACACATGCTTAAAGTTTATATGTTGGTCACTCTATTCTTACACAAATGACGATAGCGTTTGGCCAAGCCTAATCTAGATTATAATTTTGTAAAATAAAATCATTATAAATACAAAAGTTTTTATTTATTGCTAGGCTTGCCAACTCGTCAAGGTTTACGTTGATTTTCAAGGACGGGGGGTTTTGTTAAAGTTTAAGGCGAGGGTCTTTCCTTGATATTTTAATGTCAAGGGATGTACAAATCAAAAGTTGTGCACTTTTTATATTGTATGCAAGCATTTTATGTAACTTTACAATACATGGTTTTGGTAATAAACAAAATACGAGAATGTATAAAGTAAACACATTTTAAAAATTAAGGTATTTAAAATAATTAATTTTTAATGGGAAAGTAGACAAATATTAAATTATATATCTATGTAAATTATATCAAAAACCTATAAAAACTTTTGTTAAAATCTGTAATAAAAATGTTGGTCAAGGAAATGTTAAGGCTAATTCTTGAAATTTTTAAGGAATGTAGCAGATTGAGTTGCCAAGCCTATTTATTGTTAACATGATAAAACAAGGTTTACACAGCGATGCTATACGTTAACCACATTCCGGGAAATGCATTAAAGATTTTAAATTTTTTAATACTATTGTTAGAATACTTTCACTATTATTATTTTGAGAATTTTAAAAATGTGTTTACTTTATACATTCTCGTATTTTGTTTATTACCAAAACCATGTATTGTAAAGTTACATAAAATGCTTGCATACAATATAAAAAGTGCACAACTTTTGATTTGTA